TAAAATGGTACGTAGGCGGGTCGGTCAGGACTGGCCTGTATCGCCTTGAATAAGAAAAATAAGTGCCGAAATTGAAAACCAGTCTCAAGCCGATAGGAACCCAGATGCGGTCGGTTTCATTCAACCGAGTCCATCCGAACATGGGGGAAGGGAGATGCGACCAAACTACTAGTATATGGCGAATATAGAAGGCTTTGTCAAGACCGCCGATGGAGCGCATTCAGTAAGGGCACGATGACAACCAGTCTCGAGGCGACAAGAACCCGGATGCGATCTGTTACATTCATCAGAGTCCATTCGAGGATAGGGCAAAGGAGATGCGACCAAATTACTAGTATATGGCTAATATAGAAGGCTTCGCCAAGAGCATCGATGGAGCGCATTCAGTGAGGGCATCATGAAGATCAGTCCCGAGGCGATAGGAACCCAGATGCGGTCGGTTTCATTCAACCGAGTCCATCCGAACATGGGGGAAGGGAGATGCGACCAAACTACTAGTATAGGGCGAATATAGAAGGCTTTGTCAAGACCGCCGATGGAGCGCATTCAGTAAGGGCACGATGACAACCAGTCTCGAGGCGACAAGAACCCAGATGCGGTCTGTTACATTCATCAGAGTCCATTCGAGGATAGGGCAAAGGAGATGCGACTAGATTACTAGTATATGGCTAATATAGAAGGCTTCGCCAAGAGCATCGATGGAGCGCATTCAGTGAGGGCATCATGAAGATCAGTCCCGAGGCGATAGGAATCCAGATGCGGTCGGTTAGATTCATCCGAGTCCAACCGAGGATGGAGGAAGGGAGATGCGACCAAACTACTAGTATATGGCGAATACAGAAGGTTTGGCCAAGAGCGTCGATGGCGCGCATTCTGTGAGGGCACGATGCATGAACTAAATAATTGGAATAATTAACATTTCTGGTGAGGGATCTTAGGTAGCGAGACTACTCATAAAGGGAGGAAACGTGAACAGATACGGAAATTTAATAGCGGCATGCTAAATTCCCGGTGGCCCTTTCTCAGTGTCATAGAAAAAGTTGTCTGGGAAGGATGAGGAAAATAAAAGTTTAATCGAGTCAGTATTCAGATAAAGGCGTAGTCTTCTCTTAAAGGTGTGTAGATTTTCTGAAGATCTTATATTTATTGGAAGGTTATTCCAGAGGAAAGTATACCTGGAAGCGAAAAAAAGGGAGCGCTTAGAGGTGGAGGACGCTGGAGGAGGTATAATTAGAGACTAGTTGCGAAGATTGTATGGGCGACTACTAGGGGTAAGTGTTGAAATCCGAGGAAAATTTGAACTATGATTAATGCGAAAGAGGAGACAGAGGCCCGCTTCTAGTCTTCGAACCCATAAAAATTTTAGGTTAATTAGCTGACATCTATCTGAGTAGGAGATATTCGGATGTTCCCTATCTAAAAGTTTTTTAGAAAAACGTCTTTGGACATTTTCAATTTTTAAACGACTGGCTTCATTCATCAAACCAAAGAATGGGCAACAATACTCGAGAATGGGAAGTACAAACATACGATAGAGCCTTAATTCAATTTCAAGAAGATAGAAATTGTAAGAAATAAAGCCACAAATCTGGGCAGCTTTGGCTGTAATTCTGTCAGCGTGCGGTGAGAGATCAAGATTACTAGTGTAGCTTAAACCCAAATCCTTGATGGTGGTACATTCAATCATAGGTGTTACTTGAAAGACCACAGGTTGGGGTAGCCTATCAGGTCCAAAACACATATAACGACATTTAGACGGAGAGAATTCCATTAGCCATTTTGAGCTCCAAGCTGAGAGAGCAAGCAAGTCAGCATGGATTTGCTCCAGGCAATGAAGGCTCGTAGATTTTTTGAAAGAGTATACACATTTGAGATGATCTCCTCCATGCTGTCTGATGTGTTCGTAAAAACCAGATCCACACTGTTTGCCCTTTGTCCTTCTCGTGTCCTCATTGGAAACAGTACATGTTCTGTGAGGGACGATTTCAATGTTTTGTTCAGCAGACGGTAATCGAATGCCGACTTTGGACCTGACGCTTGGAAGGTGCTCCAGTTTGTTCCTGATGCATTGAAGTCGCCCATGATCATGATGTTAGGTCGACTGCAAAATTTCACCAACTGCTCCAATAGTTGAGTGTCGGCGATTTAGTCTGTCCTAAGTGATCGGCAGATAGTGAGATAATCGTGACAGGAGGAATCAGTAGCCTTGATGATCAACTAAATAGCTTCCGCGCCGCACGCAAACTTGGTGGTGTTTTCCGACACTGCCAGGCCCTCATTCACATACACAACGATACCATCACTCTGACGATGTTTCCTGTCTCTCCGATAAATTTGGTATCCAGGCAAGGCTATTTCGCTATCGCCAATATTCCCGGACAGCCAGGTATCGGTTACTGCTAAATCATCTGGAGATAGCTCGGCAAGGCGATGTTTTAGCTCGTCTAGTTTCTATAGTAGGCTTTGGGCTTTGTGTAAAAGCACCTAAGTTTTGCACCAGCCGAGTTTCCCGTTCCATTTATCACTGTTTTGAGCATTCTCCGTTATCCCAGACGTCATTTTCTCCGGGCACTTCCGTTACCCGATGGGTTCAATTAATATCCATTGCTTCAATCAGAACACTAGACGTTAAGGGCTCACTTATGCTGTCTCCTTAAGCAGGTGGTTTCACGAAGGTGTCTGCGTTAGCTGAGTAGTTGCCGTCGTTCTTAATATTACTGGCTGGTTCCACTGAAACAGCATATCATTCCGAAGTACCTTCCAATTGAAGATGGCCAGATTGTGTTGGCCTACCTTCAGTCTCGATTTAACTCCGAAACGAGTTCCCGGCGTTACAGTCGTTCCGCCGGTGAGTAGTCCGGTTGAAAAAACCTGTTTGTGTGTGTTTCTGAGGTCGGTTTTTTTCGAGAGAATCAACATGATTTGCTCTTTGTTTTCCAGCGTAATTTGGAGAGGGTGAGATGGTAATACGGCTGTCCTGTCGTCACTCCTTTTTCCAATCCGGAATGCCTTCAGAACCTTTATTCCCATGTCTTCTTACAGTAATTGGTTTAGAAGACCATGAAAAGAATCCAGATCCTCCGAGACACGACCTTCAGGTCTCCCTGCATTCGATTCCGACAAGCCCTAAATAACCAGACACTGCTGGCGATCATCGACTTCCTTACTTTGTCTCTCTGGTGAATTTGCTGCATGTGAGCGAGGACGATTTACGGAGTCGTCGCATGGACGCACACTTTTGTTGTCGACCGACTGTTCCGAGCAACCCATCAGGGCTAGGTGTGACTTCAGACTCCTGTCATGGCGTTTACCTCTCCCCCTACCCACGGGTTCATGTCTTCGCATTCAGATACGTGCTCTGTAGGGATCTCGACGTGGTTGAGAGAACAAGACGGCAATAGCAGACTTGATGATCCCATTGTACCGTCTCCACGCAAAAGAAAAATCCCGTCACTTACAGTAAGAGGCTTTGGCGAGATGGCTTCCGCGCCAGTTATATTTTGTGACATCGCTTAAGACATCTTGCGTGGGAATCGGGTCTGCCCTGATCGGCTGCTACGTTTTCGTTGTCCTGCTGTTAACGGTATCTTCGGTTTCAGCTACTGAGTTGCAACCCGTGTTTGAAGATGCCCCAAGGAGATATTGTTTCGCCTTCTTTGTGTTTTGCTCTTCGTTTTTGAGACTCTAACATTGGAGCGGTTCAAATCATCGAGGGTCTGTTTCATGAACGTCCTTAAATCAGCAAGCTCCTTTTCGAGTTGTTCTACTTTGATTTGGATATATGCACACCCAGCACAAGGCTCGTCTTCGTACTTAACACTTTTTGTGGTAATAACGCTTTGGAACGCTTTAATGATAGTTAGCTGAAAAGGCTGGTAGAGCGAGCACAGGCTCTGGATGTGAAGGACAACTCACCAGACTTATCTTCCAACGAGATGCCGTCGCTGGCCGTACTATTACAGTTAGATTGCTGAAACTCCATAGACTACGACATGATATAATAGGTACAATTTCGTTTTCGATGTTATAACGAATACGTCGGATTGTGTATGACGAACTGAAGTGAGTATTCAAAACTGATTAAGCGAAAAAATGCTTGAAATCTGACAAATTTTATGGAATCTAATCAGAAACGACTTAGCTTATTGCAGATCTCGTGGGACTTGAATAACTGCAGACCTTGAAGGATTTTCAGCAATTGCTTTTCTGGGCTGTAAATAACCGCGAGTTAATTGCGTAGTTAGTTGAACCGTGCTGATAAACAAAGTGCACTTAATCCTGTTTCCTGGCGAATTTCGACGCGTGAAAAATATTCCAAAAATGCACAAAGCAATTCTGTACATAAGATTCCAGTATCAATGTCAGAGACGGTAAGTGCGAAGTGGTAACCAAGTCAAAATAGTCCCAGTTGGAGCGCAGAATAATTCCGCCGTGCTCAGTCGGGCTTTCGATCATGTGGCAGATCAAGTGGACACCCTAACTTACATCTTTTCAACCCCTGTTTTGAATTGACTACTAAATCCACTGTTATCACACTTCCCTCATGGCGACGATCTTTGCGGTTATTGATGTCATCTCCCTCATTCCGACTTCCAGCTGTCTGACGACGCTCACGGTGGAACTCTCTGTATTCGCCGTCTACAAGTAGCTTTGTTGTTCATACCTGGCCCCCTCCTCAGCTGGGCTCGAATGGGACTGCGACCGTCATGCCTGGGTTCATTTTATCTCGTCCGGTGTGCGAATTCCGCCCTGACGACGACTGTTTTGGATCCCTTATACAATTCCGCATCCCGGCCACTCCTATGCGCAAGCTTGTCGTTTTATGAGCAACAGTTTTTTCTTTAAAGTTAATCCAGACATTTTGTTTATTTTATTATGAATTGTTCAGCGCTCGCTCACCATTGTTCTTAACGGACTACAAGTTCAGGAACTATGAATTGCACTTTGTACAGATTCTGTATCCGTCTTCCAAAATTCATATTTAAATTTATTTTTAATTTCTATGACTGGCGGAGCATGGAGTAGAGAAGGTGGGATATCGCAGTGTAGGGATCAGCACAGTCCGGTGGCTCCTCGGCGACAGCAGCCTTGACCACATCGACACTGACCTCGTCCTCCTCATGACTGCGAAGTGTCTGGCAGGTGTTTTGTTGAGTACGAGAACATGAAACGGTTTTTTGTATGATGATTTTATCGGCTAACGCTCACATTCACAATGGACAGACACGTGGGTGCAGTTTTCCAGGCCTTTTTCGACATAAGACTTAGTTGCTGAAGTTCGTGGTGGTATCGGGGAAAGCAAACGTATAAATTGTCGCAAACGGTGGACGAAATTGCCAGGGATTTCGTTACCACCACGAGAGTTTGGAGTGACCATCTCGCATGGTAGTCGGGAGGCAGTGCCTATAACCGACTCAGTTGCACCACAGTCCAAATCCGACATCAGAGCTGCGCAAAAGCCGAGGGGTGCAGGAAGAAGACTTTCTGGCCAGTTTTCAGGGTCTTCTGCGGCACAAAGGTCGGTCTTTAGCTTGCGACGGAAACGCTCAACCATAAAGTTGGCAGCTTGTTGGTAGGCTGTCGTCCGACTACGTGTGCGGCCAAAAAACTTGACGAGTGCACAGAAAAGTGCAGACTCAAGCTGCACACCACGATCAGTCGTAACCGCGGAGGGAGCACCGAAAATGGCAACCCAACGACCGGTAAAAGCCTTCGCGATGGCTTCAGCCTGCATATTCTGCAAAAGGAGTGGCTTCAGCCCGGCCGATGTACCGATCAATGGATGTGAGAAGGTGAGTATAGTTATGAATGGAGGCAAGGGGCCTTTGACATCCAGGTAAAAATAGTTAAACTGTGCGTTAGAGTTGGGAAAAGTGCCTGGTGGGGTCTTGTTTTGACGTTAAACCTTGTTCCGCTGGTAACTCAGACACGACCGGGCTGAATATTTCATCGGCTGAGTACCAGGCAACAGAGTAGTGTGCACTTCCCTTGGCCCAAGACTGGATGGGGAAGTCAAATTCCGTAAAGACCAGAATTACGATAGTACGCTTCGATTCATTTAAAATAAAATCTTTTCAGAACTGCCCTTATTAACAAGGGGACAATCGCTTGTTAAACAGAGACGCATTTTTGCCCAATCTTTTCGTTTTCAAATTACTTATTCCAATTAATAAGTATGATGATAGGGAGTAACAAGATATTTAGATGCGGATGTCAGAGCAACACAGAGAAAGATCTAACGATGGTTTATATGTTAATTGAAGCTTGGTTTCTTGGCTGCAGTTAGCGGGCTCTAAGTATGGCATTTTAGAAGCTTCCGCGGCAAAATAGTCCATAAGGTATCAAGGCTTGTGATTCCACAACTTTCATTACAGGTAAAGTCAAGATATTCCATGGGTGAAATGGCTTCAGTAAGATGTTAACTGCATTCAATTTTCCACCCACCAGCATGGGATTCACCTTTTAAGGCCGTTCTTATTCCTATTTTATATTAACGATGCAGCGACAACCTGGGATGCAACGCCGTAATGTGTTTTGACGATGTTAAGCTCTGGGGAGCCATCAGATCTCACGCAGACAGGTACGCGCTTTAAGACAGTCTCAATCACCTGAGCAGTCGGTCAGCTCGTTGTTTCCTCAATTTTAATGCTGACAAATGTGTGGTTTTGAGAGTCCGCACCAGAAGGACCAGTAAGAAACATTATTTCCATCTAAACGTTCTCGACGGGCAGCCGCTTTCAAATGTTGTGGAACAGGAAGACCTTGGCAGCCGAACGCGCGGTACGGATGTTTTTGGCGCCAAGGCGAGGATTTGTGCAGATCTATAAATAGCACTTTGTTCGATCTCACTTAGAGTATGCTGTCCAGGCCTGGCGACCGTGGTTCAAGAAGGATTATTAACAGCTGGAAAGAGTACAGGCAATTGCTACGAGGATGGTCAAGAATCTCGACCATCTGCGTTACGGGGCCAGACTGGCTGGACTAAATTTGTTTCCTCTCAATAACAGGCAACTGCGCGGTGATCTCACTCGCACCTCTAGGATTGTGAGAGGCCGTCATTGTGCCCTAGACTTTGGGGAATTATTCGAATTGACTGGGATAGACGGCCTGTCTGATCATCCCTTTAAATTTTGGAGGAAGCTGGCCCATACGAACGTCCGACGGAGCCCCTTCCCACAGACGGCCATTGGAACGTGGAACAGACTCCCTGATACAGTGGTTTCTTCCGAAACTGTTGAATTCTTTAAGGACAGACTAGACGAGCATTATTGAGAAACTACTGTGCGTATAATCACAATTGTGTTGGTTGCGACAGTTTGCGCCTGGCTAATACTTACCATTAGCTTTTCGATTTCAAGATTTTCTGGTGTAGCAATCGACTCTATTGCCGTTTGCGATGTGAACAGAGGTTTCAGGGGGCAAATGCCTCAT